ACAGACCTCCCTGTGCTGCATTCTGGGACCGCAGACACTGGTGCAAGTGGGTGGAGACATTGATATAAGCTCATAGCCTCTTCCAAGTAGGAGGTGGGAGAGCGAAACAGCTGTCAGCTCCACAGCTGGTCTGGTCAACCCGAGTGGTTCCAACTTCATCTGGCCAGAAAGAGAACCTCCTCAGTCCATGAGAGATTTGCTGAACCAGAACCAATGTCTTAAACCTTTGGCAGCTCATGTTAACTTCCTCTAAAGAGGACAGAAGTTGCCTGGCTCTGCCTGCCTGGACACAGTGTTCTCTGGACATTTGTCATGCTCTTTAAGTGCTCCGACCAGCTGCTTCTTCCAAGCAGCATTTCTTGGCGGAGCTATGCAATGCACAGGAAACACGTTTCACGGGACGCTTGTTTTCTTCAGCACTCACTTCGGCACATCCCATGAAGAAAGAATGACCTTCTTTTCAGTCTAAAAGAAAGATAGATTCTTGCAACAGTGTAAGAAATAGTAATCTCTGCCAGATATGGTGATGCATGCCCTTAATCCAAGGACTCGGGTGATTGAGAAGGGATGTTTGGAGGGCCACTCTGAGCTATATAGCAAGGGTGTGTCTCAATTCTAAACCCATACAGAAGAAACAGCACTCTCCGCAGCTATTTTGTGTTGCATTTTTTTCTGCGTATGAAGAATGATGGTCGCTTAATGAGAGCACTCATGTTTTAAAAGGTAATAGGAAAATGAGCTTTTAAGGTTTATTTCTAGTCCTTACTGGAGTATGAGGGCCTTGAATGCTGCTTCCAATGGCCTTGCTTTCTCTAGATTGTGTTGGGCAATGCCCGTGCCCAGCACAAACTTATTTACTATATTTTGTCTAACACAGATAAAAGAATTTGTGTAACTAGATTGCTAAATGTATGCTTGCAAAGCACGTCTTAAAATTAGAAGGGAATTTGTAATTTGTTTATAGCTTTCATACTTGGATAATTTCTTCTCCAGTTTTGTGTAGCAGTTGTAGCGCCTATAAATGGTATTATAGTGTTTTCATATATATATGATGGAGCAGGTGTTCTTGTTTCTAGACTGTGTTAGAGTGAATACAATATTAATGTAATTCATATATTTCTACAATTCTACAATTATTTTCTTCTTGTTCTTCTTTTCCTCCTATTTATCCATTCTTTCCTTTTGTAAAATTTTCATTCTTCCTCACATCCTTCTGAAGGCTGGAATTAGGGCTATGCACCCCCATACCAGATTTATGTTATTATGTATGCAGTGCTGAGGGTTCAGAGGAGGGACTCCTAAACCCAGACTAGGACATGAAGGCATCGAGAGACACACAGAACACACTCCATTGACATAAAGAGACGGGATCTTGAAGAATGAATTGTGGTTGGCCAGTGAAGTAGAAGGAGGAAAATGAGAAGTGGAGGGCTCACGTTGTACAAAGACAGAAGGTTGTCCCATAACCATATCACTGTCTGTGCTGGATAGTTTTATGTCCACTTGACAAAAGCTAAAGTTACACAAGATGGGGGGACCACGATTAAGAATATGCCTTCATAATATCAGGTTATAGCAAGTCTTTATGGCATTTTCTTACTGATTGATGGGGGAGGGTCCAGCCCATTGTGGTGGTGCTATAGGTTCTAGGTTCTATAAGAAAGCAGGCTGAGCAAGCCAGGGGAACAAGCCAGTAGTAAGTAGTACACCCCCATGGTCTCTTCATCAGTACTGCCTGTCCTGATTTCTTTTGATGAACTGTGATGTCAAAGTGTAAGCTAAATAAACTCTTTCCTCCCCAAGTTACTTTGGTCATGGTGTTTCATCTCAGCATTAGTAATTCTAATTAAGATTCCCTCTCCATCAAGGTGTATAAACTGAGTCCAGTAGTCAGTGCTGGCTTTAAGAAAAGCTATTTTAAGTAGTTTGTTGTACCTCTTAATGGCTGGGTGCCTTTGGATCAGCAACTTAATACCTCCGAGATTTGGTGTTTTCATGTATTAAACAAGAATACTATCCAGCACATTTTTAATGCTGCTAAAATAGGATATGGAAAGTGTCAGAATGAAAGAAATTACTTTTAGGAGTATAAATACAAAGCTCTTAAATAAAATACTAGGTGTCTAAATCAGACAGTAATAAAAATATACCATTAGGGGCCTAGAGCAATGGCTCAGTGGTTAAGAGCACTTGCTGCTCTTCCAGAGGACCTGAGTTCAGTTCCCAGCACCCACATCTGATGGTTCACAAGTGTTTGTGACTCCAGCTCCAAAGGGTCCAATGCCTCTGGCCTCTGCAGGGGCCTAGACTCATGTATACATACTCTCTCTCACACAAAATTAACCGCGAGGGGTGCGATCACCCACTGATACAAGGGGACTGATCTAATGAGAGTTCACCAAGGCCAGTTGGACTGGGACTGAACGAGCATGTGATCCAACCAGATTTTCTGAATGTGGCCAGATTCTCTGAATGTGGCTGGCCCGGAGCCTTTCTGAAAAGCCATTGACAATGACACTGGGACTTGTTTCCTCTGCATATACTGGATTTTTGGGATCCAGTCTGTTTGGATACTCACCTTCCTGGACCTGGAGGGAGGGGGGAGGAACTTGAACTTCCCACAGGGCTGGAAGCCCTGACTGCTCTTAGGGATGGAGAGGGAGGAGGAGGGGGAGGGAGGGAGTGGGAGGGTGTTGGGAGGAGGGGCGGAAATGGAAACTTTCATAATTTAATAAACTTTGAAAAAAAATCTGAAAAAATGCATCATAATCAGTTAGTGATTATCTCACACCCCTCCCTCAAAATCAGTCTTGGAAATCAAGCAGTGGGAGTTCCTTCATTTTTCATGTAAATTTATTATAGCAAATTTAGAACTGAAAGGAAACTCAGTAATGCTTGCATGATAAAAACCTATCGGAAGAATTAGTGGAGAAACATTACATATATTTCTTTTACTTGAGGAAGAAGATAAGGCTATCCATTCCTATAGTGCTGTTTAACCAGATTTTGCAGGGACCAGCTGGTGCTCTAAGAATGGTAATTAAGTCATGTGTCAAAATAGGAATGCATAAATTGCCAGACTTTACAGATGATGTAACCACTTAATGCCAAAAAAATCATTGATTATCAGCAAAACCTTATATGAAATTTAGACAGCATGTCAATTATAAGCCATTTATGAAAATGATCATTATTATTTTTTACATGTGACATATTTAACCGATATAAGTAGTGACACCTTTCATATTAATAATAAATACATTAAAATGTGATATTTCCCGCTTCCAAATGTTTTGCCATATTATTTTACAGATGTTAATTCAACTCAAATTAATCTGTACATTCAAATTTAGTTTTGGGAACCTCTTACAATTCACCAGCAGTCTACCTTAAAACGGAATTCTTACCAGCATGAAATACTTTTTTATGTTGGTGACACATCACTCAAAGTCAGCATGATGAGAACAGTCTTAGAGGACCTCTGTTGTTTGGCTGCCGTCAGCATTTTCTTCTCAATTACCTCACTAGTTCATTTCACCCGAATACTTGGTGACTTTTCTAACCCAAAGTTCCAGAAGTCCTTACACAATCCTCCCCAGAACATGGTCAGGTGTCTGTCTCAGCCCTATGCCACTCTCTGGTACGAGTCTCTGTCTTAGGTTTCTATTGCTGGGTAAACCACCATGACCAAAAGCAACTTAAGGAGGAAAGGGTTTCTTTGTTTACAGATCATAGTCCATCACTCAGGGAAGCCAGGGTGGAACTCAAGGCAGAAAGCTGGAGGCAGGGACCTCAGTAGCAGTCATGGACGGGTGCTTCTTGTTGGCTTGCTCCTCATGGCCTTTTCAGCCGCTTTCTTATACATCCCAGGACCACCAACCCATGGGTGACACCACTCAGCAGTAAGCTAGGCCATCCCACATCAACCATTAATCAAGAAAATGGTGCATGGACATAATCTACAGGCCATCTGATGGAGGCATTTCCTCAACTGAAGATCCGCTTCCTAAATGCCGTGAGCTCCTGTCAAGCAGAGAAAAACATCAGGACAATGAGTTTGTGGCAAATGTGGCTGTCAGCATTTCTTTAGAAGCCGTGTGACTGATACTTGTGCTGAGCAGCAGAGAAGTTAATTACATTTCATCGCCGAGGAGAGTGAAGACTGTGTCCCCACCCCCATAAAGCTAGCTGTGAATTCTTGTTTCCTATCTAAATCTCCCAGGATTCCCCCCCCCCCCCGTTAGCCTGTAATATGCAGCAGTAAATACTTAAATAACACCAAAGAATTCAGTGGGGGAACTCCTTGATTCCTGTTGTCTTGGAATGGAGGCTGCTGGAAGTCATTCAGATTCATACAGATTAGCCTTTCCCGGATACATTTGCTTCACGGTTATGTTTCTTTTTTCTTTTTAAATGATGAAATGAATATGTAAAGGGAAGAAAGGGTGTTCAGCAACAGAGACCCGCCCCCCTTCCCCGAGTGCCAGTTTTGGCTTCAGCTTTAACCAGTAGGAACTGCCTTTTTTTTTTTTTGGTGGAGTACAGTTTTTTAAATTATTGTATTTAAAAGAATATTATTTTACATACCAATCCCAGTTCCCTCTCCCTTCTGTCCTCCCACTCCCCCCACCTTCTCTCCCCCCATATACTTCTCAGAGAGGCCTCTCATGGAAAGTCAACAAAGTCTGTCACATCACTTGAGGCAGGACTAAGGCTGTATCTAGGCTGAGCAAGATATCCCTCCATAGGGAATGGGCTTCAAAGAGCCAGTAACTGCCTATCTTTGTAGGTAAAATAATTTGGGATTATAGTTGAGGAAATCAAAACTGCTGAGCTCAGCGCAAAACAGCACATTCGGCACTGGCTGTAGTTTTTCTTTGCTTCCCAGGAACTGCAAAAACTGATCACATGAAACCTGAACCTGTATCTTTCATTCTTCTTCCTAAGGCCAGAGTATTAAAGCATATAAATTTAATGTGAAGCTTCTGTTCCATGTCTAGGAGAGGAAGAAGAAATTTGAAAAGGACGGTGAGAGGTTTTACTCATTACTGGACCGGCACTTACACCTGTCAGCCAAAAAGAAAGAATCTCAGCTGCTAGAGGTATGTTCCCCACGTCCATCCCCGACTCCATCCCGTGCTGGGTTAGAAATCACAGTCATTCCGCTTGGGAGGTTTCCCCTTAAGATGGCTGAACAGGAGCCATGGAAACATTTGTAGGGAATACCTGAGGTCTGGGCCCCAGGCTATCCGAGTCTTGAGCCAGTTCCTCCACTACCTTCCCGTGTTAAGGAACTTCATTTCTGGCGTCAGCCCTACTGTGTGAAAGAGTGGTACTCAAGGATCTCCAGTGTCATTTTCAACTCCAGTTCCTAAGTCTGTGTTCAGATAGATTTACACTGGTATTGTATTTGGTAGATAAGGAGCAGACAGCTTGGTGGTGTTCCATTGCCTGTTTTGGTGGGAGCAAGGAAAGCTGCACTGTGGCTACTGCTTCTTTGAGACTTACACTGGCTACAATTCTCCCAAGGCACTGTTTAATAGATACCTACCAAATCACATTACACTGGGTGGAACAAGAATAAAGGGACACCAATACAATGGTCATGCCCTTCTCCACCTCAGAGCTGGGATTCTAAATTAAGAATGTGCATTAATCTCCTAGCAGCAAGGCTCCTTCTGTTCCGTAGTATGCGTGTTTATATAATAGTCTTGAGGGACCTGGGGGATGAGGAGGTGAAGACTTATGTCTGAATGGAGGAATTTCCTCTATGGAAGAAAGATGTCTTTCCAATTTGAGATAATCATTTGAAAAAAATAAAATGTATGACAAATAGAAATGGAGAAATTGCCTTACTGAAGCTAGTAGCCTCGAGGCTGAACAAGGCCTGAGATAATCTTGAGAAGCAATTTGTCCAGAATCGATACTACTCTAAAAGACTAGTGAAGGACATGATAGTGTAATCAAGAGCAGTGGACTTACATCCTCCTTTTTTGTTTTTGTGTATGTGTTCTTTTTTTCTTTTTTGAAACAGGGTTTCCCTGTGTAGCTTTGGAGCCTAGCTCTTGTAGACCAGGTTGGCCTCGAACTCACAGAGATCCACCTGCCTCTGCCTCCCGAGTGCTGGGATTAAAACCGTGCACCACCACTGCCCCACCCTTATATCTTGACAAGTGGGTGCAACAATAACAAGAAGAGAGGGAGAGAGAGAGAGAGAGAGAGAGAGAGAGAGAGAGAGAGAGAGAGAAGAAAGAGAAAAGAAAAACATGGGCAAGACATCAATTAGTGAAGAAATAGTATCAGCAGCAGGCAAGGAGAGCACAGGGGTAATTTCCAAAATTATCTGTCTGAACAAATGCTGTCTGAACAAAAGGAGGATGAGGGAATTTTTAGAGAGGCTATTTTAATAGTGGCTCTCTCTGCACAAGTTGCCTATGCAGACAGAGTGGCTTTTCTCAAATACCTGTTCCTCAGACAGTCTAAAATTATAACTCATGCTAGGCAGGGAGTGCCCTTGTTACCAGACCCAATGAAAACCTAGGGGTATCATCAGCCTCTAGAGTACCTTCCATGGCAGCTATTTTTACTCTGTTGTTATAGCTTATTGAAAGAGAAATTTCATGTATTCTTTGTGAGACTACTGAGGGAGAGAGGGAGGGTGAGGGCTGCAATTATAGCTCCGGAGTTCAAGGCCATCCTTTGCTACCTAGAGAGCGTGAGGCCAGCTTAGGATACATTAGTCCCTGTCCCCCAAAAGGAAACAAAGAACCATATCATTGCTAAATAACTTTTCTGTTTTATTGTTGCATTGACTCATCTCTCAGAATGGTGCGAAAGAAGTCAAGAGACACTGTGTAGGATAGGTCTAGGCTTATTGTTTCTGGCGAGGGGAGAGGCAGCAAGGAGGAGTGTGTACCGGGCTATATCCCTAGACAAAATTTCCCCTTTAATTTAACTATTTATTTGATGATTATACATTCATATGTGGTTATAGCAAATGAGAGAGATTTTATATACCTTAAAGAAAAATGGAATGGAAACTACAGAGATAAAGTATTGGATCTTGGGCACACATTCTCACTGTTGTTAAGGTCTTGTGTTTGTTTGTTACAATTGGTGAGCCAATGGGTTTTATGTTCTGTGGGATATGGATTGTTTATTTTTACGTTGCCCATGCGATACCGTGTTACTCCTCTTTTAGCCCCATCCTGAGGGATTTGACAAGTGTATAATGACACGTGAACAGTCTAGTGTCATGGAGAGCATCTTCATTGTTCTGAAATTCTCCTGGCTCCATGCTCGCTCATCTCAGTCCCTGGCAGCCACTGATATTTTGTCTTTTCTATAATGTCATGGACTCCTGTAGCATGGATGCTTTTCATATTGACTTCTTTCATTTAGTAATATGTGTCTATTATTCCTCTATTTTTATGACTTGATAGCTATCTCATTTCTCTTCAGGGCTGTTGTCTGGTTGTACCACATATGTATCTTATATCCTATGGAAGCTATTTTTTTTCTTCTGAATTTTGGCAGTTATTAATATGGCCATGATAAAGATTCATGTGTAGATTTTGTTGAGGTTGTTTTGATAAAGTCTATAGAGTATGAGTTGGGTTGCATTGTAAGCAGATGATTTATTTTGGAAGAGGCCGTTATTTTCCAGCATGTACCATTCTTCTTTCCAACCCGCTGTAGACTTTATTTTGCTTCTTCTTATCAGCAGTTGGTGTTTTCAGTGTTTTTACTGTTAGCCACTCTAATAGGTGTGCAGTGGTATCACATTTCTGTTGTCATTTGAAGTTTCCCAGTGACATGTAATATCTCCTCATGTGCTTAGCTGCCACCTGTGTTCTCTGCTGAGCTGTCTGATCTGATACTTAAGTTGGAGTTATTTTAAATTTGAGTTATTTTCTTGTTGCTGTGTTTTAAGGACTCTGTGTATGATGTTAGGTACCAACCTAATATCAGAATCATGTTTTACAATACTCCAAGTATATACTTTTATTTTTGTAGAAGGATCTTTGGTGCTGCACCTGTTTTTGGTTTTTGAAATTTTACATATCCATAATTTCAATGGATCATGCTTTTGATGTATTTAAAATTCTTGCCAATTCAAAACCATGCAGATTATCTGCTCCCTCATCTTGCTTTGTGACATCTCAAGGAGGTCTCAAACTTGTGTCTTGCTGCTTTAGACTCTTGAGTGCTGGCATCTGTGCGTATCATCATATGTGCCTAGATTTTCTCTGACTTTTGCTTCCAAGAGTTTTAAAATAGCGTCCTCTAGATTTGACTAGGGAAACACACCTAGGAAATCTCAACAATATATTTATTTAAACAAGGCTGGCATAATTACAATATCAGTTGTCATGCTCTTGTGGACAGTGTAATTTTTAAAAGTAAAAATTTGTGTTGTTTTTAGCACACAAACATATGTATTTCAGTGTGACATTTTTAGTTCTCCATTTTCTTCTTGCTCATGCTCTTCCTCCCCTGATAGTCCCCAGTTCTGCTATCATAATATATTTTCCACCATCCTTTCTTGTTCTCTCCACCTCCCTTTAGACCTCCTGTTCTCTTCTAGAGCTTTCCCACTTCTTTGTCCTACAAAAAGGCATATACACATAAGTTAAGTCCAGATTCTGATTGGGAGGAATGATGTGGTATTTTTTCTGACTTTGTCTTTTTTCACTAAACCTGCTGATTTCCAATCCTCAAAATTATGTGACTTTATTTTTCTTTAGTGCTAAATGAAATTCAATTGTGTTTATGCATCTAATTTTCTGTATCTGTGCATTTATTGATGGACATCTAGGCTGCTTCCATATCATGGCTATTATAAATAGTGGAAAAATAAACATGGATGTGCAATTATTTCTGTAGGATGCCAACTTAAGAGTCATTTGGGTGTATACATAGGAGCTGTGTATGTATCTAGCTAATATGGTACTTTCTTCATTTTGCAAAATCCCCAGTTACTATCATTGAAAATGTTTCTCTGTTCCATTCTCTTTCTTCCATCACTTGTATTCTGAATACTCATACGGTACACATTTATCTAGCAGTTCTCAGATGTTTTATTTTGTTGTTTACTCTCTTTGTTTTGACCTTTGTGTGGATGTAAATTCAATCTCAGTGATTCTTTTTCCCCCTGTGTTGTCAGGACTCTTACTCAGAGCCCGTACCTGCTAGGTGGGTGGTATGCTTTTGAGCAATCTCTCCAGGCCCAGACGTATTCTTTCCTTGACCTTGTTCATACTGGTGGTGATCCCAATAAAGCATGCTTCATTTTTGTTCCAGGGTTTTCGATTTCTGGCATTTCCTTTGATTCCATGCTGCAGTTTCATGCAGCCTCTGCCTTCTCTTCGTTAGTTTCTGGTGCCTTTTTGCTTGCTTGGGATTTTTTTTTTTTTTTTTTTTTTTTTTTTTTTTTTTTACCTTTCCTGCTTAAAATGCAAAGAGGATGTTTGGATAAAGAAACGGATATAAGCGCTCAGTGTGAGCTTTTGTGCTTGTTTGGCTAGGATGTAAGTTGGGCTTAGTTTGCTGTTGCTGTAGTTTCTTTGGAGCCCTTGCTTTGTCTTTGCGTTTCTTAGCAGCTTATTCTTAAACTGGGTAGTAGTTCTTTAGTGAGAGCGGTGATGCTCAGCCTTGAGCACCTATCACCCCCAGTGTCTGTTCTCCTGAGTTCCGATTCTCTCTGTACAACTATAATCTAGTTTGGGCAACAGCCCTTATCCCCATGACTTTACTGTTGGATTTAAGGAGAAAGGTTCTCCAACTTGGTCAGCTTTTTCCTTGATCTGAAAATCAGTTTGATGACTCCCAAACTTCTTCCATGCTAGACTAGAAATAGAAAACCTTCAGTCTTTAATCTCTTGGCTTCATATTCCATCTCTGTAAAATACAGTAGAAATAAAGAAAACAATCAAAATAGGATGTTTGCAGGTAGCTCAATGCCTCTTTGACATTCCTGACTTTCAAAAGTTTGACCATGCCCACTTTGTGACATGTGTTGCCCTCTTTCTACAGGCAGACCTCCAAGTGGATAAGGAAAGGCACAATTTCTTCGAGTCCTCCCTTGACTATGTCTATCAAATCCAGGAAGTTCAAGAGTCCAAGAAGTTCAATATTGTGGAGCCAGTAAGTTCTCTCTGTTGGTTAGTATTCTAAAAAAATGTGTTTCCCAAATCCTCAAATGAATGTACAGAACTTTGGTCATAAAAGTGGAAGCTTAAGGAATGAAAACGCCAGTCCATGCTCAGATACATGTCAAGATACATGTCAAGAACGTGAGCACATAGGCTTAGATTTCTCCTGCTCTTTCAGACGTGTTCATGCTTTTCCTTACCTTGTTCACACTGTTTTGCTCTCCATTTATGATATTTCATTTTCCCTTATTCAATCCTTTCCCAATTTCTATGTCACACTTTATTTTTTCTCTTTTAAAAGTAATATTTTATTAATTTGTAGAGAATTTCGTACAATGTGTCTTGATCTTATTCACCTGATTCCTTCCCTTAACTCTTCCCCAGCTCACTCCCATCTCCCTGCTTTTTTTTTTTTAAAGAAAATACTTCATGCTATCTTGCATCAACTGTCCTGACTCTTAACAATATTTCTGTCCCCTTTTCTGTGATGTCCCCAGAGACTTAAGGGTGGGGGTTGTGCTCTAAATGTATCGATTGGAGGCAGAAATTCTATTATCAGTTTATTTCTGCATTTGGACCAGTTATGGCTTTCTGGAGTGTTCTTCATCTGCTTCACAAAATAAGCTTATTCAATGACGGGTGAGAGCTCCACTCATCTCTGGACAGAAGGATGAGTATTTAGATATAGTTACAGCTTATGCTGGTTTAGTGGCAGGGGCAAGTTCTCTGTGTACCATGGTCCGAGCAGCCACAAGTAGCTGGCTAAACTGATAAGTGTCAGATATGGATTCCCTCCTGTTAGGTGGATCTTAAATCCAATTAGGTGACTGTTGCCTGCGGATGTAAGGGCCACTACTGTACCTTTCAGGCTATCTTGTCACCGTGGTCAGTGTTGCTATTAATTGCCATTATAGCTGGATGGGACTTGATTACTTTCCTCCCTTGGCAGCTTGCACGGCTCCTTCTGAAACCCTGAGGACTAATCCTCAGTGAAGAATCTTCAGATCAGATCCAGATCAGTTCCTCTAAATCCTTCATCTGAAATGTGTGGTGTTTTCAGCAATCGGGTCTTATCTTCAAGTCTGAAAGTTACCAAAGACAATGGCAACAACCTATGTTGTTTTTGTTTTTGGAGGGTCTCTTAGATTCCCCTAACCAACAACTTAAAAGTAGGTTTCATGTGCCTGGCACTGGGTTTTTATTAGGTAGTGTGTATTCTTTTAGGGGGAGTATCATCACCCCAACTGATGTAACTTTACTCAAATGATATATTTCTCTTTGTGTACACACACAGACATGTGCACATACACAGGCACACATACATATACACACAAAATCTAATTTTAAGGTGCTATTAAAATATGATTTCCCCTACTGATTTTCTAAATATCTTTAGTGTTATTTATCCTTCCTCCTTCCCCCTCCCTTCGTGTTGCCATTCTTCTTTCCTGTTTAAGTAAATCTCACCTACTCATTTTCCCTCTTAGAGCAACTGTGCCCTACAATTTTCTTGTCTAGAACTCTTGCCCAACCCGTCCCCTCCCATGGCCTCCTTTAATTTTTCTGGTATTCGTAGTTACTGTAGTTTATAAACTCACTTCTGAAGACTTGGGGTTAGGGTCTGAGTTACCCCACTCAATATAATATTTCCTGTTTTCGTCCATTCATCAGCAACTTTCATGATTTTAGTTTTCTTTACATAAAAATAACAAATAATATTTCATCATGTATAAGCACCATATTTTTGTTCTCTATTCCTAAGTTAAAGGACATTTAGATTGTTTTCATTTCTTAGTTATCGTGCATAGAGCCGTGATGCTCATTGTAGAGCAGGATGAGAAAGCCTTCGGGTATATTACAAGTAGGTCATATAGTCGATTGTAGCTTTTTGAAAACCCTCCACACAGGTTTCCAGAGTGACAGCACCAGTTTGCAATGCCAACAGTGAATGAGGGGTCCCCTTCCCCCACATCCTCACCAGCATTTGTTGTGGTTGTTTTGTGCATTTGGCCATTCTGGGTGGGATGAGATGAAATGTCAATGTCATTTTAATTTGTATTTCCCTGATTGCTAAAGATAATGGGCATGTTTGAGGGTTTTTTTTTTGCCATTTTTATTTTTATTTCTGCTTCTGAGCACTCTTTTTTCGGTTCTTTTCTTTCTTTCTTTTTTTTTTTTTTGGTTTTTTGAGACAGGGTTTCTCTATAGTTATGGAGCCTGTCCTGGAACTAGCTCTTGTAGCCCAGGCTGGCCTTGAACTCATAGAGATCTGCCTGCCTCTGCCTCCACTGGGATTAAAGGTGTGCGCCACCACCACCCGGCTCTTTGTTCAGTTCTATAGCCCATTTTTTAAAAACAATTTTGGTTGCTTGTGGTGGACATATCTCCCTACCAATACTTGTCATAAACGTATGTGTATGCATGTGTCCGTCATATTGTTTTTATGTGTTGTTTATGTTGGGTATGTCCACACATGTTTATATATTTCATCTATTTGCTTTCTAAAACATGGAACATTTATATCTTTACAATTTGATAAAAGAAAGTTATATTTTCATTTAGTTTTGTTTATATAACTTGGTTTTAAATGGGTTTGAATGGAAAAAAATAGGTTTATTGATATTGTGAGGGATATATGTGCTATGGTGTATATGTAGAGATCAAATGATAGCTTTGGGGAGTCAGTTCTGTCCTTTCAAGTTTATGTGGGTTACGGGGCTTGAACTCAGGTAGTCAGGCTTGGGCTGTAATGCCTTTACCTACCGAGCCATCTCACGGACCACGGATGGCTTGAATGTTCTGAAAATTCAAAAGTGGGCTACTCATCATTTGCATGTCATCTTCTCTAAGAAACACCCACTCCGGGCTAGTCCTGTGGATGCATGTATGTGTATATAGAATCTGTTACTCAAAATGTTTAGAACCAGAAGTGGTTGAGATTTTCAAAAAATTTTGGAAGATTTGCATTCATATAATGGAATTTCTTAAATGAATTTCTAGTTTAAACACAAAGTCTGTTTATGTGTCTTAAACCCCTTATACTCATAACCCAAAGATTTAATGCAGTATTTTTAGTGTGTTTACGTTTGCTCCAGTAGGCCTGAGATTTATCACATGAGGTCAGGTATAAAGTTTCCATTTTCGGTATTGCATCTGTCCTTGAACATTTTCAGTTTGAGATGTGATATTTGTGGGTGAGAGGTGCTGTACTACTTTAGAGAAGAGATGCGGTCAGTCCCTGCAGTATCTAATTCCTGAGTGGCTTTGCACGCGATCTAAAAAGACCGGGATTTGCTAGTTCCTTTCTGAGACCGAAGACCGCTGTATTGCACCTAAGATGAGAGTTCTCATGTGTGTCCCTGCCTGTGCTACCCTCACCGCTCCTAACAGTGTCCTCGGTAACCACTCTGGGGTATCTTCCCTGACTTCATGGTTCCTACCTTGACCAGATAGGGGGTGCTGGTGACAGATACCAGTGAGTTTCTCAAGGTGGTTTTTGTCTCTTTCCCTTAGGTCTTGGCCTTTCTTCACAGCCTCTTCATTTCCAACAGCTTGACTGTGGAGCTCACACAGGATTTCCTCCCGTACAAACAGCAGCTGCAGCTCAGTTTACAGAATGTGAGTTGCGTCTGGATGTCTTCACCTGGCTTCCCAAGGGGGCCCCAGGCATCTTAACTTTGCAATTACAGGTGGTTGCACCGCAGCCAATTTGCAAGGACAAAGTGGTGTAGGGCACAAACATGTTAGCATCGTGGCGTGTGCTTGCTTTTTCAGTTTTGACACTTCCTCTCTTTGAGACTTCCTGCTGTTCAAACCTATCCTCTAATCAGGAGTGCCTCTATTTGCCAGGATTTAGTAAGTGTTGGTACTTTTCTGTGTCTGTCGCAGATCAGAATCCCGCTATAGGTGTATTTAATGTAAGACTTAGTCCTTAAGCTAATTCCCAAGTCAGTTAAGACACTTGTGGGCTTTATCATTATGATTGCCCATGTCTATCTCCTTCCTTCTCCCATTACTTAGTACAGTTAAACACATGAGTTTTCAAGGACTTCTCCATCTTGTGCATGCCAGTTCTATAAATGAGCACAGATGCTACATTTTTATGTATTGGAACATGAGAATTTACTCATTTTATCACTTAGCCCACATTGATGAGTATTTATGGATACCATGTTAAAGTACGCTGTGTAACACAATGTAGCAGTCTCTCGCATCCCAGAAAGAGGCGTCAAGGTTTGTCTGTCTGGGAGGATTATATATTTTCTTCGAGTGGAGATATAGTGACAGATAAATCATAGTCCCTCAGTATTTGTTGCTACATGGAATCAAACCAACATTTTAAAAGAGGCATAGAGAATGTAGCAATTGGTAGTCAGAGAAGGTATCACCAAAACCAGGTGACATTGGACAGAGTGCTCCAGTACATGACATTCGTAGATGTGTTTTCCAACTCAAAACTGCTGATAAGATGCTTGCCTAGGGGGACTGGGACGTACAGTTTTACCTACTTTTTTCTTTCTGCATCTATTCCTTCCTCCTGGGTCCTCTCCTTTATCCGAACGTGAGAGCACCTATTTTCTGCTGACTTACCAAATCTTTCTACAATCAAGTTGACTCCTCTGCCATGTGTCACTTGACAAATGTGAGCTAATACCAAGCGTTTGCATGTGTACTCATGGCTGACTCATTGTTAGTACCGTTGACAGCTGGGGCCAACCGGTGCCGTCCCTGTCTTCTCCACTAACATAGAGAAGTTGCCATGGTAATGTTGTCTTTGGGAACTTCTCCTCTGTAGTTGCCCTTATTGTAAAGTAAGGGAAGTCTAATCTCAGAATTTTAAAGTTCCTTATTTACTCGAAGCTTGAATTAACCCATTGGGTCAAACCTCTTGCTTCTTGTGGTATTTGTGTTTTTGTTTCCTTTCTAGTTCGTAATACCATTAAACTCTAGAATTCTTTCCTAGTCACTACTATTCAGCAGTCTTCTGTATGTTTTAGCACATGCTGTGAGCAGAGAAATCTCTGTACTGTATCTACGACCTACAAGTACGCAGACTTGTTGGTGATAATGCTGATAATGATTGTAATGATGTCTTGACAGACAAGAAATCATTTCTCCAGCACCCGAGAAGAGATGGAGGAACTTAAGAAAAGGATGAAAGAAGCTCCTCAGACATGCAAACTTCCGGGACAGCCAACCATCGAAGGCTATCTCTATACCCAGGAGAAATGTGTGTGGGCATGCAGGGCCAGTCCCTGGGATCCAGTTGGCTTGCCTCTTTGTCTTTCTGAAGGCTGGGAACCCGAGTTCGTAGATTCATGCCAGATACAACGCCTTGGAGGGCAGGGCAGGAACAGAAGAAATACAAAAGGAAGAAACTTGAGGGGGAGTTAGGGTTATCATGTCTCTAGAGTAGTAAGATCCAGATTTTTTTCTCTGAGATTCAAGATGAGGAATGTTAATTGTGTTTGGTGATCTTTGGATCAAAGAGGTAGGGCCAAGAAGGCAGAAAGATCATATTTATTGCATATACTATGTGCAGTGCCCTACAGACCCATTTAATCTTTGATTCCATATTCTGTTCATTTTACACCAGAGACCACTGAGGCTTAGAACAGGCACTCGATCTAAGATCGAGTTCAGGTGTATCCTGTGCCAAAACTGATCCTCTTTCCAGCGTATGCTATCCCACCTACCAGCCTGAGGGCCTGGACAGTGTAAAGTGGTGAGCAGCAGCCTACTTTGCTCATCGCTCTGTGTTCGAAGGACTCTCCATACACGACCACCTAAGTTGTCTACAGTAAAGTCAAATTGCCCCTAGTTGAGAACCTCTGCTACGCACTGTATGGTGCTTCTGCGCCTCAATTTGCCATCTCGTCAAATGGCTGCCACTCAGTTGAAGGAACACTCACGGAGCATCGTTTCTGCCAAATGCCATGTAACACATTGAGAGAAACATACACACACACACACACACACACACACACACAGAGAGAGAGAGAGAGAGAGAGAGAGAGAGAGAGAGAGAGAAAGAGGTAACATGTTTTCTTTTTTATCTCAAAGCATTTCTCAGACTGATAGGAGAGATAGGAAAGTATATTCACAAGACATTTTGAGCACTCTCTTTGGGGCATATATCTAAGAGCTTCTCTGAGGAAGTGATGTTTGACCTAGAGCTTGAACATGCACTGAGGGTGTGGCAGGTGAAAAGAGAATGGCTAGGGGTTGGTCGAGAACTCCAGGTGTGTGCTGCAGTGTGAGTAGAGGCGCAGGAGTGTTGGAGAACAGGCTTCATGCTTAGGTCTTGGTTTCGCAAGGATAGCCCCTGTTGTCCTGATGTAATTATTCATTCTAAAATATATGTTGTGTGCAATCCATTTTAAATACATGTTGGGTTTACAGTACAAACTCTATGCCCATTTAAGTGCTTGGGAACTGAATGCAATTCAGTGACACAGGGACATAGAGGTGAGGGTGCCCAGGGACAAGTCCAGAATTGTCAGTTTGATCAAATTCTGCAGGGATTTGAGGGTGGACTAAGTTGGTTGGAGAGAGTGGGAAAGCCTGTGTGATTCACTTTAAAGTAATGCTCTCCTGAAATGGCAAAGACAGGTTTGCTGGGAGTGAATCAGAGATGGGGTGATGAGAAAAGTCTGTTTGAAATGATTAATGGGAGAAAAGGTACATTTGTATTTTATTGGTAACTGTGGTAAGTATTAGGAAAACAAGACAATGGTAACATCCTTTAACTAATTCATTGCTAAAGGTGAGACATGTAAGGACTGGAGTGGCTACAACACAGTGGTAGTCAAATGAGAGGCTCCACGAAAGAGGAACACTGGCAGGGCTTTCCAGCTTTTGGATGCATAGGTGACTCTATTGCTAGGAATGGTTGCAGGGAGAGCAGGTTTGAAATGAGCCAAGAATGGAGATGGGAAACAGTCGGTGAGGATCTCTGTGGGTACAGTGGGTAGGTGGGCGGCGATGGACCTGGGCTTTGTCTGTAAAGAGCAAGCGATAGGCTGGGACTCAGCACCTTGGGTTCAGTTTCAAGCACTGGGGAAAAAAACAAAAACAGTAAACATCTTCTGCTTTGGGGAGCTGAAACATTCTACTAGTTCCCTTTTTCCTGTCTTTGTAGGGGCTCTGGGGATATCTTGGGTGAAATACTACTGTCGGTATGAGAAAGAGACCAGGACACTCACCATGACACCGATGGAACAGAAGCCAGGTGCTAAGCAGGTCAGTTCTTGTTACTGCCGCTTTGTGGGCTCATTTGTGTGACTGTATCTCAGAAAAGAACATATATTGACAAAGTACCAAATAATGAATTCTATCACTGTCACGTAAAGTCAGGATTTTACATGTTCTCTTTGACCCGAGTTTATGTGGGCTGTGACTAAGATCAGGACTTTGTTATATTATTTGGTTTGTGTTTTGAGAAAAGCTCTTCTTCTGTGACCCAGGCTGGCCTTGAACACATTGTGTAGTACACGCATGACTTGAACTTGCAGCAAGTCTCTTGCCTCAGTTTCCCGAGTGCTGGGATTAACAGGTGTGTTACATCATACACAGGTCCTACCAGCAGGGTTTATGATTGTATCTTTATGTTTTCAGCCTATTTAGTATTACAATTGCCCATTGCTTATACAAAGAACTTTTCCAAAATAGGGATGATTCTTTGAAGTAGTGAGTTTTAAAAATATAATTTCTAAAATGCCCTTATTAAAAGTGTGTGTGTGTGTGTGTGTGTGTGTGTGTGTGTGTGTGTGTGTGTGTTGGCTGCTGGTGGCACACACCTTTGTTCCCAGCACTCAGGAGGCAGAAGCAGGTGGATCTCTGAGTTTTAGACCAGCTTTGTCTACAGAATGAGTTCCAGGGCAGCCAGGGCTGTTATACAGGGAAAACCTGTCTCGAAAAACCAAAGAAAAGTGTGTGTGTGTTATGTGTGTATGTGTGTATCTCTCTCTTTCTGTCTCTCTGTCTCTCTGTCTCTGTCTCTCTCTCTATCTATCTATATATTATATTCTATCTACATATCTCTATATATAGATATATATTCTCTCTCTATATATATTCTCTCTCTCTCTCTCTCTCTCTGTGTGTGTGTGTGTGTGTGTGTGTGTGTGTGTACATGTGTCTTTTGCCTGAAGTTAGAATCCCCTACACCACATTAAAATCTCTGTAAGTAGTTCATGTTTCTTCTGTCCTTTTCAAGCCTTCTACTTTTTAAAGTGCCGAGGTAAGTTCACCAGGGAGAGGGTCGTTTACTCCCCTGAAAGAATCTGATCCTTCCATGCATGGCAGTTTCTGTAGGTAAAAACTGATCTTCACATAATTTATTTTCTGAATGTACCCCTTTCATTTGCTCTCATAAATGCTATCAGTGTGCACCTTTTAACTATCTTCATATTGTTGGAAGGTTGAAGTGTACACTTTAAGACTCAATTTAGGTGGATAGGAACTTGGAGAAACCTGCCTGCTTCTGTTAATAACTGTTTTTGTAGATAGATGCCCAATCCTGTATAGCTTGTACATAGAAAACATGAGGGAACTGATTTTGATTGCAGACTCTTGGAAACCACTTTTTTGCCTTGGTCTTTAAGTACAGAGCCTTCTATTGAACCTTAAATGTAGGTTCAGCTGGGGTACACCCTTAGGTAAATGTGTAAGTAGGCTTTCGCAAATTCATCTTGGGCTGTAGCACAGAAATTGTCCCCAATCAGGCTGAATGTGTCCGTTGTGTCTGAGTGGCAAGTTCTTATGAGCAATACTAGCTGCTGTCTTCTGGTTTTCCATTTCATGTTAGGGCATGGGTGTTGTTGAGATAGGGTTTGCAGTAGCCCAGGATGGCTTCAAACTCATTTTGATGTGAAGCCTGACCTTGGATTTCTTATCCTACTGTTTCGTTTCCTGAATTCTGGAATTACCCGAGTGTGTCACTATGACCAGTTTATGTGGCATTTGGGGCAAACCCTGGACTTTGTGGTGCTTGTAACTGAGCTACTTCCTATTTCTACTTTTTATTCTATATAAATTATCATCTGACGTCTGGACATTAACTCTCTTTTCACAGAGAGTAATACCTTTTAGGTTTTTTAATTCTCTTGCATTCCGGTTCCAAAGAACACTGTGCCAAAGACAAAATCAGTAGACACCACTTTTGTGTCCTCCTAGCATATGAGAACAATTAATTGAGTTTTTCTTTCCCTCTTGTTTCATTGAGTGGACTCTTGCAAGCCTACAACTGTGGGAGCCCAACAGTGTGCCTAAGCAGGCTTCTTCTTTTCTGAGACAAAGTATCTGTAGCCCTGACTGTCCTGGAACTCACTGTGTACAGTACCAGATCACCTCAAAGTCAGAGATCCACCTGCCCCTCTCTCCTGAGTGCTGGGACTAAAGGCATGCATGCCTGGCCCTGAGCCTGAGAGCTTTTAATGTAAGGAATGGAAAGAGGAACCAAGCTCCCATTTAGAAGGTAGTGTTTGAATAGAAGTAGTTACTGAATTCACTCTATTTGTGGAAATAATTTCTCCTTGTCAATCTTCTGACACCATTTCTAGTGGTACTTCATGTTTCTGAAAGGTAAATGACAGATAAATGAATCAATGATGTTAGTAGTGGTAGGAGAACCACCTTTTCCTGAATGCTAGCTGTCTTCCTAGGATGTGTGCTACCATGTACCTATTCCCTCTCTTACCAGCACTGCAGAGCATATATCATGAACCTAATTTACAGATGGAAGAATTGGCCCTCTTTCTTACCGTGACACTTACCAGTGTTCCCTAGTAACTGTGAGGTCTTATTTATAATGCTCGGTTTACCAGTCTCCTCCAGAGCAGTATTTTATCAGAATTTTATCTTCCCATGTTAGACATAATGGACAAGAGAAAGAGTGATGGGTTTTGAGATTAATTAACTGGCTTTATGGGACTGGTGATGTGCCATGGCAGGGCACTTACTACCAAGTCCACACCTGTGCGGCCCCACACTCCCAGCTCATCCATACATTAAAGAACTGGGGCTCAATACTAGTTCCATGGTAAACTTGCCTTTTGACCACGAGTTAATTATTTCTTGTTACTCAGATTCCTCTCCCCCATGAGAAAAATAAAAAGGGTGATAATTGTGTTCATAAATTCTTTGGAGCCCTGTTTACTAGGGACCAGAGATACATAGACGAATCAGACATTATCTACGTCCTTAAAGATTTCTCAGTCAACCAAGGCCCTGGAAATAGGATGTTTTCCCAGAAATTACAAAGCATGGGGCAGGCCATGTGCAGAGTCGGAGGAAAGCTGAGCGCGGTTTTAGGAGAAGTAGCAGCCTCTTCAGACCAACAGTCACTTTGGGTGGAGAGAACAGAACATGCAGTGTCATTGAGTCATTAAAGAGCAGGGTTTGTCCGTGAAGTGTTCTACACCTGGGGGAGACGAAATACTTGGTGGAGGCTGAGATGCAGCTGGAGTGGCGTGGCTGGGGCCTAGGGTTCTAAGCTGCCACACTGCTGATGCTGAATGGTGTGAAGGCTAAAGAGAGAGGTACCTACATGACCGTGTCCCCCACTGTAAGAAGCTTGCACAGGACATCCCAAGCATTAGCATAAGACCAGCATACTGAAGGCTTAGTGGAGGGTTGAGTTTATATAGTGGAAACAGAAAGGATTGGCCCATACAAAGCCAGAGGCTGGGCTGACCACAGTGGAAAGAGTACTCTGGGCTCCTCAGGTACAGGTAATGAGGAGGGCAAGAACCCAATCACCCTTACCCCAGCTCCCACCCTCTCATTGGAGGTGGCATGGTGCTTCCCTCTCCGGGCTGACTTCAGACACCATATTTGATTGCAATTAAAAAGGCAGCCTTGTTTCCAAAAAAAAAAAAAAAAAAAAGCCAAACATGCGGAGAGAAGTACCCAGTAGTTAACCAAAGAGCATCAAGATCTGAAATTACGTATACATTGAGTTTCATTTATACATTTTAAATTTTGAGGCGGGCTCTTACTGTGTAATCCAGCCCAGCCCTGAACTTGTTCTTCCCCATCGGGTTGGAGTGTTGGGATTACAGGTGTGTACATATACCATACTGTCTGAACTGGGTATAAATCTCAGCTCTGAACTGGGTATGATCTAATTCCTTTTTGAATTTGAGTAAGTTGGTATTTGCCTCGGAGTCGTATTGTTTGGATGACCTATTGCCATAGGTACAGATCTGGCGTTTAAGACGCGTTTCTGATTTGGAGGAAGGAGGCCTATGGTGCTGTTGTTACTAATAGATTGTGAAGTGAAGACTGAAGAGGGAAATTGTTTTGCCAGGATCACATAGCTAGTACATGGCATAACTAAGGCAGTACCCCAGATTTTTTTTTGATTTGGTTAAATTTGCCAAAAAAAAATTTTTTTAATTTTTTAATTTTTCCATTCAAATATTTACACTCCCTCCCCCCCCCCCAACCCCCCCCCCCCCCCCCCCCCCCGCTCCTCCTCTCCCCTCCCCCTCCCTGTTTGAGAGAGGGCAGGGAACCCTGCCCAGTGGGAAGTCCAAGACCTTCCCTTCTACATACAGGCCTAGGAAGCTGTTCTTTCATATAGACTAGGGTCCCAAAAGGCCAGAACATGCCGTAAAAACAAGGCCCAGTGCCTTTATCAATTACTTCTCAGTCACGCCCCATTGTCAGCCACAATCAGAGAGTCCTGTTTGATTGCATGCTCATTCAGACCCGGTCCAACTGTATTTGGTGAGCTCCCATTAGAACAGACACACTGCCTCAGTGGGTGGACCAACCCCTCGTGGTCCGACTTCCTTGCTCATTTTCTCCCTCCTTCTGCCCTAGATCTTAAGCTTCCTAGTTTAATGCTACTTCGACCTTACTAACTTGCATGACATTCAAACATTTTGTTGCTCAGATTCTGCTCTATGTCAGGGCTATTTTGAGGGAAGTTTGTGTAAAACAGATGCAGAAAATAATAAGCAATCAATTAATTAAAAATACCTTGTATAGTATGTGGTTCATTTTAAGTGATAACTAAACATTACCTTCCTTCTGGTATCACATTGCCCCTGTTGGGGGACAATAGGGGAAATAAACAATGGCAGGTCAGGTAGTTTGTCTGCGGCCACCAAGGGGTTTGGCAGATTTCTTTTTCCACAGGACTATTATGAACCACGCTATCCCACATGTGTCAGATATAAAAATGTTGCTTTGATTAATAAACAAATTAGCTTATTTCCCCACTCTTTTCCCACCTCTAGCGAGATCGTTTTTATGGTTTTTGTTATCCTGAAGGTGTTCGCTGCCACATCCATTAGGAAGCTTCTATGCTCAACTTTTCTCACACATTCTATAGATGATCTCAGATAGCTACTTACGCAGCTGCAGCGTCCCTTCTCAGAAGCTTCATGAAAATTTTATTATGTATACTTAATGCTGTTTGGGCAGTCCATTTCTCCTGCAGTGCCTTTAGGTGATGTGTCCTGGGCTTCCTATTGAATCTGCCATGCTTTGAAAGGCCTGCCGTGAGCATTTTCCCCCAGTCATGGCCATTAATGCTTAGAATAGTGAGACACTATCTACCATGTTATTGTAAGATTTGAAGGTAAAGGTTCTTAGTGAGTCAGCACATTGCTCCTGGTGTCTTGCTCTACACCATCCAAATGACCCTGACGACATGACATGAGACAGAAGACACTTCTGCGCATTTTGAATAAGTGACTGGTAATGTTTCTTTCATATCAGGGACCTGTGGACTTAACATTGAAATATTGCGTGAGAAGAAAGACAGAGTCGATTGACAAGAGATTCTGCTTTGATATAGAAACTAATGAAAGGTAAGTTGGGGTACTGTGAATTAATGGGGTCACTGTGTACCATCCATGAGTTTAGCTGGGTCTTGTATTTTTCTCTCTGATTTCTTGTTGCTGAACATGAGCAATTACATATAGGCCAGTGCTAGTCCTGCCCCTCAATCTGCCCTTCACAAGGGGTCCCTGTTAGACCAGGTTCAGGGCTGGTTTGTTTTTTGTTTTTTGTTTGTTTTGCTTTTGTTTTTGTTTTCTGTATATCCCTCAGTCATATTTACCTCACGGACTCTGAGCAGAAAACATATCCCCTAGAATTTAATTTGCTGTCACATATATAAAAATTTGTTTTATTTTTTCACTGCTGCAAAACTGACAGAATAATCACGCTTGTTCTTTTTAAGATGCTCACTTAGGGAGTAGATTGACACAATTTTGAAAGGAAGACAGATAGGGCAAAGGTAGAGGTGGAATTGGGGAGTTTTTTCGTACCTACTGTAAAACTGTGCATGTTTTTCCTACTTTGAAGACATGTATGTGAATTAGAATAGTTTATTGACCCCAAATATTAGAACTACTGCTAGCAAATTTGGGGCATGATTGTATTGTTTCTCTCCAATGCCTTCTTTTTCTCTTCCCTAAAAGCAAACAGTTTAGTGAAGGATAATTGCACCTCATACTTTTTTTCTGAAATTGAAAATAGATTTTTTTTTATACAATACATATGGCTATGATCCCCACTCTCCCTGCTCATCCCAGATCTTTCCCATCTCCCGCCCATCCAAGTCTACACCCTTCCTTGCTCACGCATTAGAAAACAATCAGGAATAAAAAATAAGATAAGATTAAAACAAACAAAGTTGAATAGCACAAAACAAACAAATAAACAGAAAAACAAAGAGCTGAAGGAAAAGACTCAGAGACTCACAGCCTTGCAAACACAGAAATCCTCTAAAAAAAACAAAATTGGAAACCGTAATATGGAAGCAAAAGATACCTATCCTTTAAAGTGAAAGCATTTAACATTGTGATGATAGGCATGCTTTCTGGTTAAGAAGTTGGTTCAAAAGTTGTCGAATAAGCTATTATTATTATCATCATCATCAACAACGTTTTTTGTATACCAGGCACTGAGTAATGGAGACGAATTTAGTAAAATGATCAGATGCCTAGAAAGGACCTTAATAAATTATAATATCATGGAAAAATCACTAGGAACTGATATCAACAAGATCAGTTAGACTGAGAGATTAGGACATTTTCCTATCCAGAAATAAGTAACTATTAGCCTGTTGCCCTATTTCAAAATTGGGATATTTTAGGACCCTCGTGATTTTGGTTTGTGGGTCTTTATGATGTCTTTGTTAATAAATAGATGATCTCAGTCAAAAGGACTGTGACAGTGAATATTGCTACCAGTAGTGAGATGATTGGCACCCATTTTCCTGATAACATCAGACCCTATAGAATGAAAAAAAAATTACTCTGGGCTCTGACTTCCCTGTGTGAACCTGTAGTATCACTGGTTTTTCGGCATCAAGATTTAATCCCTTTCAAGTGATTGAATTTTCCATGTCTGATTCCATGTTGATTACCTTTTTGCCTTAAATTTGCCAGCTACGTGTAGCTAATTTCCCTAACTCAAAGCAATCCCAAACAGTTTGGCCCTGGGCAAGAGACTGTTGCGCTTGTTTATATATTTCTTGCACAAAGTGCTAAGCTTGTCTCATTGTAGGTTGTAAATTTGTTGTTAATTCTGAAGTATGTTGTTTGTATTCTTTCCCAGAATTCTGAGGACTATTTAGAGTAGAAGCCAGTATCTAAAGTTATGATGCATCTGGAACTTTAGTTACCATATTATTTTCTCTTTAAAAACTTGTCCTATTGAATCCCATCACACCATTTTATACACGAGGACACTTTGCTGCCTGAGGGACCAGCCGTTAGTAGCACAGGGCTCAAAGGGAACCCACAGTCATCACGCTAGATTGTTCTATCTGAAGGGGCAAGGGAAAACGACACTCACACTCTCTCTTGATGGTCTCCTTCCTTATTCCTCCTCTCTAGTCTCTATTATTTTCCTGGTGATTTCCTTCTCTTATTCTTGATGTTGTCCATCTAATTCTGCCTTTATTCTCTCCCTTACAGCTTATAAACCCCAGCAAAATCTTTCAGGCAATATTAAAATCACAATATGGTTATATTCTATTTTTCTAGTGAAAGATTACAATGAATACAAGTAAAAAACAGCATGTTTTTTCCATATCCCTTCCATGATTAAACATTTTACATATTACAGGTGAAAAATTATCCCAAGAACCCACATACATTCATACCCAAGCAACTTGTTATGCATTAACAGTGTGTAAGCAAGTAAGATATTCTTTTACTGGCAAACTGTGTTTTGTATTTACAAAGAAAGGACCAATTACTTTATTACTTATCTCGAGAGGTAATCTTTTTTTCCAAAGTTTATTAAATTATAAAAGTTTCCATTTTTGCCCCACCTCCCAACACCCTCCCACTCCCCCCACTCCCTCTCCTCCTCCCTCTCCATCCCTAAGAGCAGTCAGGGTTTCCTGCCCTGTGGGATGTTCAAGTTCCTCCCCCCTCCCTCCAGGTCCAGGAAGGTGAGTATCCAGACAGACTGGATCCCAAAAATCCAGTATATGCAGAGGAAACAAGTCCCAGTGTCATTGTCAATGGCTTTTCAGAAAGACTCCAGGCCAGCCACAGTCAGAGAATCCAGCCACATTCAGAGAATCTGGTTAGATCACGTGCTCGTTCAGTCCCAGTCCAACTGGCCTTGGTGAACTCTCATTATTAGATCAGTCCCCTTGTATCAGTGGGTGATCGCACCCCTTGCGGTCCTGGTTTCCTTTTTCATGTTCTTCCTCCTTCTGCTCCTCATTTGGACCTTGGGGGGCTCAGTCCGGTGCTATCATTGGTGTTTTTGACTTTAGCTAATCTGACCAGTGTAAAATGGTATCTCATAGTTGTTTTGATTTGCATTTCCCTGATTGCTAAGGATGTTGAGCATGACCTTAAGTGTCTTTTGGCCATTCGAAGTTCTTCTGTTGAGAATTCTCTGTTCAGATCAGCACCCCATTTTTTAATTGGGTTAATTAGAGTTTTAGTGTCTAGTTTCTTGAGTTCTTTGTATATTTTGGAGATCAGGCCTTTATCTGATTAGGGGTTGGTGAAGATCTTCTCCCAGTCAGAAGGTAGCCTTTTTGTCTTACTGACGGTGTCCTTTGCTTTACAGAAGCTTCTCAGTTTCAGGAGGTCCCATTTATTCATTGTTTCTCTTATTGTCTGTGCTACTGGGGTTCTACTTAGGAAGTGGCCTCCTGTGCCTATATCTTGTAGACTACTTCCCACTTTCTCTTCTATCAGGTTCAAAGTGGACAGATTAATGTTGATGTCTTTAATCCATTTGGACTCGAGTTTTGTGCATGGTGATATATATGGATCTACTTTCATTCTTCTACAGGTTGACATCCAGTTATGCCAGCACCTTTTGTTAAAGATGCTTTCCTTCTTCCATTGTATACCTTTAGCTCCCTTGTCGAAAATTAGGTGTTCACAGGATTGTGGGTTAATATCCGGGTCTTCTATTCGATTCCATAGGTCGACTTCTCTGTTCTTATGCCAGTGGGAAAGTTTTCTTCTATAATTTTGTTGAATATATTTTTTGGGCCTTTGATCTGCAGTTCTTCTCCTTCTTCAATCCCTATTATTCTTAGATTTGGTTTTTTTATTGTGTCCCAGATTTCTTGGATGTTTTGTGAAGAGAATTTGCCGTTTTCTTTGACCAGAGCATTTATTTTCTCTATGGTATCTTCAGAATCTGAGATTCGTTCTTCTATCTCTTGTATTCTATTGGTTATGCTTGATTCTGTAGTCTCCGTTCGTTTACCTAGGTTTCCCATATCCAGCCGGTTCTCGGCTTGTGTTTTCTTCATTGCCTCCATTTCAGTTTTCAATTCTTGAACTATTTCCTTTACCTGTTTGATTGTTTTTTCTTGGTTTCTCAGGATTTACTTAATTCTTTATCATTCACTTTATCATTCACGGATTTACTTAATTCTTCAAACTTTTTGTTATACTTCTCATCCATTTCTATACTCATTTCTTCAAACTTTTTGTTATACTTCTCATCCAATTCTTTAAGGGAGTTATTCATATCCTGTTTAAGGGACTCTATTGCTTTCATAATGGTACTTTTTTCCACTTCTTCTGGATTAAGGTGTTCAAGTCCTTCTATTGTAGGGTCGTTGGGATCTGGTGTTTTCATGTTGTTTTTCAGATTGTTGGATGAGGTCTTGCCTTGGCATCTGCCCATCTCTTCCTTCAAATGCTCTCTATTGGATCTTCTGGTACCGGGTCAGGTTCCCTTGTTGGGCAGGGACTTCACTGACAGAATGCCCACCTGTCCTCAGGCAGGCTTTTAAGAGACAGGAACTGCCTCCTGTCAGGGTGTGCCTACAGCCCAGACCCAGTGCGCAAGGCAGCTGAACTGGGGAAATTTTATGACCCCAGGGGGAAGGGAGAAATATAGGAATTTGTACCTGGATGGAAGCTGGGATGGCAGGCAGGAGAGCTTAGCAGGGTGGAGCCAGCACTGCAGGGTGACCTGGGAGTCTATGGGGTCGGGGAAAGTCCTCCGAGCTCCACCTCGCCTGGCCCCTGCCGCGGGCCAGAAGCAAACTCACCCCTCTGATGGATTGCCCTCTGATAGAAGTCAGGGCCCCTTCTTGCTCCGGAATGTCCTCGAGAGGTAATCTTATAAGGAATCTTAAAGGGACCACAAATCTAAAATTTTATTCTTGAAAATTCAGCTCTACTTTAAATCTTTAGAGTTCATACCCACTCATCAATTGTTTTTTGTATCTGGAGATTGAGGGCAAAAATAGGTACAAGGAATTAATCATCACCTTTGGTCATCAGGCAATCCTAGCAAGAAAGACACATCACCTAATAATTCTTTGGCTGCTTTGTTCTGATTCCCTGACTTTAAAGAGTTCCTTATTCAGCTATGTGCCTTGTCTTCTTGGGTTTTTCACCTCAAAGCTCTTCGACAGAAATGTATTATTCTAACTTTAAGTTATTTTCAAAGCTTTGTTTCAGCTATGATGAACCTGTGAAACACATCTCCCAACATTAAGATTAAAAGAATTTGTCGGGCGATGGTGGCATACGCCTTTAATCCCAGCACTCGGGAAGCAGGGGCAGGCAGATCTCTGTGAGTTTGAGGCCAGCTTGGTCTAAAAGAGCTAGTTCCAAGACAGGCTCCAAAGCTACAGAGAAACCCTGTCTCGAAAAACAATAATCAAAAAAAGATTAAAAGAATTTCAGTTAGCTTGGCTAGTGGTACTCAATTGTTTTTCTTAATCATTAATCTAAGCCACATGGCTCCTCAAAATAAACTCATATGTTCTAGCTATATGACACCTCCGTATTTTATTTTTTATCATCAACACTCTATTTAAGCTAACATTATTATCAATTAGACAGTATAGCTTAGGAAGAAATAATCTTCAAGACAGTTTTAAAAATGCCCTATGGGATGGTTTCTGTGAGGTAAACACTACATTATAGGCATTGGAGATCTCCACACAGTCATTCACACCATGCCTGATATCAGAGAAAGATGACAGCAGCAAACATGTGAAGGCACAGCAGAAGCCAAAGGCATTCTGGGCTTTGTGGTCTTGGGGCCTTGCGTCGCTGAGATTTCCCCATCAGGGTTTTGTTTCCTGGCAGGCTGATACCCTGAAGTCAGTGGCCATCTGTTGTTCCTCTGACATGACCACTGGCAGGACACCAAGACTCAGATATAGTAACTGACTCTGTAGCAAGGCAGCACCCTGGTCTGTGGTCTCCCCAGCCATTTCCTTTGTTTTCTTATGCTATTATTGGTTAAAATAGTCAATATCATAATGAAGAGATGCGGACACACTTCTCTGCAAGAGGGACTGTCAGGTCTGTTGCAGCTACTTCCACTCTTGCCCATCTGATCTCAGAAAGTGCCAGACTTCCCAGCAGGTATCACACACATTGACTCATTCTCTCTGGGGTGCCAAGCAAAGGTCTCTTAATCCTTTTTTTCTAGTTCTGAAAGCTCTCATTTCACCACAAAAATTAATGTTTGTTCCAATATTTGAAATGGTGGGCTCATATCACACACGAGTTTGGAGGGTCTTAACAATAATTTCAGCAAGTGATGTTGCTTGCCAAGTGTCTCCTGCCTGTCCAATCCTGTTCTCTGCCTTTTAAATGTAATTTTCTTTAGTCTTCATCATATAGAGTAGATTCTGCTCTTACCTCAAGTTCGCAAAGGAAGAGAAAGAAGCAAAGATAAGTTAATCAGCTTGAATAGTGCAACTACTAAATGGTAGGACCAGGGCCCAAGTCCAGCTCTTTGAATTTCTAAGGAGGGCCACCTCCTTCACCCTTGCCCTCTATTGCATGTGTGCCATGATGGCCTGCTTGCTCCAAATGGGCAAGTGGACCTTCCAGGAGGGCAAACGGTTTGTCAGAGGCCATAATGGATCCTGCGTGAGGGAGACTGGGCTAGAACTTAGTCCTTTTTCCAGTCTCTTGTCTTGTCTTTAATACTAGTCTTTGAATCTGGCTATTTGTCGCGCTGAAGAATCTCCAGATACTTCCCTTAGTGACATACGCTGATACTTCCAGCCTTTCTCTGCAGCCCAAAGCGAGCCCATGGCTAGGGCAGCTGGATTTGACGGGTGGCTCCAGGGCATTTCATTCTCGGACTGGTTACTTTCATGTCTGTTGTTCATATGCTTGCTCCCCTTCCATTTGGCTTTGCGATTTGGCTGATAGCTATCTTCATAGAGAGGCCTAGACTTTCCACTTCCGCAATATATATGTCTCAAAGGATGAGGTTCTTAGAGATAGGGAAATTCGAAAGTCTTGTTTCTAGAGCCAAGTATTGGCTTTTGGTTATTTTTAACTTCAAGATTATTTGGCTTGCTGGGTAAGGTGGATTTTGAATAAAACAGACAAGTATGACAGGAATCTCCTGATGTCAACACTGGGAAGTACTTCCCCAAGGGTATCTTCCAGCACCCTTGGAGAAGGAGAAACGGCGGTGCAGTGAGGCCTAGGGATTAACCCAGCATCGCTGAGTGTTCTTGTTATTTCTCTTACATTCAGTACCTTGGGGTGAGGCTGAATGATACAGAAAGGTGAGAGACAAACTTCAGAATGCTGTGGCTAGCCAGAGACTGCACCAAGACTTCATGCCTGCAGGAATATGGTTAACCCATGTGTCCAGCTTGGTTCTGAAGGTCGAAATATATTATAATAGGTACATCAATCTTTAATGTATCTGGATGAAAACAGTGTCTTCAGTTCATTGCTTTAATACCTGAGAATGGGTTATACATAAGCATCAGAAGTTTCTTTCTTAGAGTTCTAAGGTTGAAAGTCCAGGATCATGGGGCTATCAGGTTTGGAGTCTGGGAGTCTTTGCTTCTTCATTCTCCAGAAAGAACACATTTCCTGTTCTCACATGGAAGAAGGGATAGAAGGGGATGAACCCACCTCTTCAAACCTTTCTATAAAGGTGGTTTGTCACTTCCGGAACACTCAACCTATTATTGTTGTCTCATTTAATACAGGAATTTTTGGAGGGTGTGTGTGGGTATATATTTATATTTCTAGGCCATCGTAGATGGCCAACAAGTAAGTAGAATTAAAAAAGTTTGAAGCAACTTTCCACAGACAAGAAGCCTTATAGTATTGATGTTAAGAATCTGGTTTGTGCAGTACATTGCATGCATATATGAAAATGTTCTAATAAAATCCATCATTTTGTGTGATGAATATCCACTAATTCAAATTATATTTAAAAAAAATGATGAAAGAAGCTTAAGATACCATTCTCTCAAGAGAATTTTCTGATTTAAACTTCTTTTCCCCACTCTAGACCAGGAACCATTACTCTGCAGGCGCCTTCAGAAGCCAATAGAAGACTATGGATGGAAGCCATGGATGGGAAAGAACCTGTGAGTTACCTCCCCACCCCTTATATAAAAGTGTAACCTCAGCAGCATAAGTCAGTTTATGAGTGCCCTCTAGTGGTTGCAGTGGGGAAATGGTCGTAGCTTATTTAGATTCTAAATCATAGAGCTAAAAGCAATTGTCACTTCCTGAACTCTTGTTTAATTCAACTTGAGTTCTAGAGTTGAGGAACTTCCCTAGGGCTTGTCTGCTGTATGTAGTATGGATTCTGTAGTTATGCCCACAAGTTCTTAAAAATGAAAAGCACCTCCTCTTCTCATTGTAGAATTGCTTTGTCCATCTAGAAGGGTTGGACAGAATTGTCATGGATGTGTGTAAGCATCCATTTAGGGTTCTTGGAAATGACTTTTCCAAGCTCTCCTGCACCACACACTTAGCTTGCCCTCGTTCAGAATTCACTGTTAGGAAGGTAGAGAGAGCAGTTCCTCAGAAGAGTCAGAAGTAGTGCTAGATCTAGAACAACAAAAGCAGAAATCGTTGGAAAGCAGTCTCTTCAACATCTTTCTAGTAGTTTCTTTTAGTGGCATATGCAATAACATGGCTGTTGGTGTTCAAACTACAGATGCCTGATCCTGCTTTTCCTGTTATTTGGCGATGACTTTAGCGAGTTATTTTACTCTCTGTCCCTCAGTTTTCTTCTTCTTAATGAAATTTTTTTTAATGACTTCTAGTCTCCCAGGATTACTGTGACCACTCCACTGAAAACCGTCCCACAAACGGTAACAGAGTGCTGTGTTAGTTGTGGGTCTTCCTCCCCGGTTGGAAGAACAACTGTAGGACTCTTGCAGTGTTTGGGTACAGCCTTACCTCCCTGTTCTCATCAAGTGAAAAGCTGAGAAGCTAGCCTGCTGGGGGAAACATAGTCTTTCTTTGTGTCCTCTGTTCCCTATGGAGGAAAGAGGCATAATCAGGGAGTGAGATGGCTTAGTGGGTCAAGGCGCCCGCTGTCAAGCCTGGGACCTCTCGAGTTCAATTACCTAGTTCCTGCACTGGGGAAGGAAGAGATCTGACTCCTGTAAGTTGTCCTCCGACTACTTGTGCTGGGACATGCACACCCCTCCCCTAACCCAAATAAAAAATATAAGTGGAAAAATTAAGAATGTAGCAGTCATCTCTGAGATTGTTGCTGCAATAGCCAGAAGTAGAAGGAGGGTCCCTTCCTGGAAACCTGAAATTTGGGCCTTCCCCACCTGTGGTGTTTCTCTAGGGGATGCCAGGAGCAAGGCACTTATGTGTCCACTCCCTCTCCTGTTCTCGGGCTTCCTTAGGCTCTGGAAGCTCAGAAGAGATCAGTGGTTTGTTGTGGAGAACGATACGAAAGCCTAGATCCTCCAAGTCCCAGCCTCACCAGCTCGATTGCCGCTGACTTCCCGAAGCTCTTGTTTGTAAAAAGTCGCAACAAAGGCTGCGCAATACAGAAAAGTCTCGTACTGAAATATTCATGAGGACACCACACACACACCTCTTTTTCTTTCCGAGAGGAGAGCCTGGGTTGAATTCCCTCAGCCTCACCCCACCAGCGTTGCTGCTTCCTTAAACACCAAGTCCACTGATCGTATGTGCCATGTATATATGTCTTTGCTTCAACTGTCCAAGAGGATGAGGGCTTGAAGTGTAGGGGCCCACAGACGTGAGTCCGTTCCACCTTGGCTAGAGGTCAGAGGGTTCGAGCATGTTTTTCTCTTTCAAATCTGTTGACAACAAGTTACGAAACAAGAGCCCCTGACCTAGAGTGGTTAATTAGTGTTTTGAGTACAGAGGTGGATCAGTGCCATCTTGACCAAAGGTCAGAGATGCTAGGTTTATTCCTTTTAAGTTGTTGCCTACTCCCCCTCCCCCTTTTGGAGTCAGGTATAAAAAGACATGTGGAAAATAAAATGGTGGATCACTATTCACTGAATGTCCTTCCCGATGCTATGCTGTGTTTCATCTCTTATTTCTCTCTTATCTCTGTTCCTTTTTACTTAATAATTCCAATCCTCACGCTCCTACTCGGGAATATGCGAATCCATTCGAGACCGGTCCTCGACACTGAAGGAGCATCTCTTCCCACCCTGATCACCGTATTGATGGGAAACATGCCATTTAGAGAACGGAAAAGGCATGTCCAGTCTCTTAGTGACACATGGGCACTGCCAGGAAACCAGGACAAGTTTCAAAGAACCAAAATCTCCATTCTGGTCTTGTACATAGTTATTGGAGTGCATACTTTGAGATGACTCAGAGATATTTGGCCGTCTCCTTCAGAAGAACCCTTGCCTTTCCAAAGAGAAGTATCCATTAGCTGTTGTCCTAGTAATGCCCATTTTCTGGGTGTCCTTGAGAAGACCACTCCCTTTTTTTAATGTGTTGCTCCGGCACAGCAATGCCCTAAGCTTTACCTGGGTAATGGTCTGAGGTGAATCAGCTGTGGCTTCAGCTCTGGAACCGCGTGAGCACCTAGGACAGTTTGAGGAGCTGCGTTTTCTTGGGATCTGGGCATCGATAACTCTGCTTAAGCAAAGCCTTTCCTTTATTGTTATAGCACTAGCATCTCTAAGGACTTTGACAGTGTTTCAAGGGAATGAGACTTAATCCTGTTTGCCCTACTTCTCTGTAGTGAGTCCCAGTAACTGAGCCTTTTGGGTCTCTCTTCTTTTGTAGATCTATCACAGCCCTATAACAAAACAGGAAGAAAGTAAGTAATCCCGCTTTATATACTCCTCACATTATAAGCGCGAAACTGGCCCAGCGACAATTCAGTGCGTGTATTGGTGACATGTACCATTCATGCATATCGGTGTAAAATGAAGCCTAGCTCTGATTTGAAGCTGTTTATTGACTGAACTAGGGAAGTCACTCCATTGATATTTATGGTGTGAATGGTACAGAGAAGATGGGGAATATATTATCGCCTCCTGGTTCTGGACAGAGGATCAAAAATGTGTGCATTTCCCCAATATTTGGTATTGCTCATGTTAGGGTAGATGTGACATAAAGGGCTAAACGGAAACACTTTGTGTTATAAAAGACTAACCCTACCCTGAGCATGGTGTCCTTCAGTCTCTGGGCGCGTGGACATGAGCACCTGCCCGGCCAGTACTCTCACCTTAGTGCCCTCCTGTGACTCTTGCATGTGGGGTAGGAACTTCCTACTGTGCTGTGAACTAACTCTCCTTTCCTTTCCTCACACCAGTGGAGCTGAATGAAGTGGGGTTCAAGTTCGTTAGGAAGTGCATCAATTTTATTGAGACCAAAGGTAAGATCAAAACCATCACCTTGAAGAGGTTGGATTTGGACACTCTGTTTTTATCCCCAGAAACTTTCTCTAAAGTGAGAATGACAGGGCCTGTCTTTAGGATGGCAACTTTTATCCATCTTGTGTTTACTGATCTAATTGGCGGGTAGGCCTTGGAACTATGGAACCTAAAAACGAGGCAGACTAAAGTCTCATGCAGTAGTCACCTTTATTCAAAGCATCAGACAATTTATACTCTAAGTGTTAAGAAAGGTTGATAACACAATAAAATAACATGATAAAAATAAAAAAAAGAAAAGTCGTATCAGTGAATACAATCCCGAGGACACATTGCAAAACCATCTTTTTCCACAGAGGTGTAATGAATAGTCTGAAGTAAACTCACTCCCATGCACTATGCATGGTGTGGTGGGGATGGGGGACAGGACGGGACAGGACAGGGCATAAAAGTGTATTCCAAGGACAATTCTGTGTTTTTGAAGAAACTGGGGCCACAAGACTCCTGTTTCCTTGGTGCTTTCTCACAAGCACTCAGAATCCCCCCAGCACAGCTCCGCTTTTGGACTGGTCCGCCACTGCTTGTCTTCCGGACACATTTGTTTCAATTTAAGCCAGTTGTAAACCGGCTTCCATCATAGCGCTCCTCACCCATCCATATATACAGAACTTGTGGTTTCCACTTCTAAGAGAGCAGAACCTGACGACGACGATTTAGAATGCGCCCTGAAATAGTGCCTAGCGTTCCTCAAGCAGTTAAGTGATAGTTCCATCTCAAGCGATCCAGGGCTCAGCTTCCATCATGATATCATTTTATTATCAATTTGAAAATTGATAGGGCCAAATCTAAACTCAGGCATGTGTAGAGTCAGCATGCTTCTTCCCGAACCATTGTCTTTGCTTCCTTCTGAGGATATTTAGAAGGCAGGCGGCTGAATGTCGGAATCATTATGTTTTCTTTGGACCCTTGCTTTAGCCTTTCTCGGTGTAAAAATGGAGTTTTGTTTCACATCTTCCATTCTCCAACCTTCTCCTCTTTTATATCAGAGCTTGGGAACAACTGGGTGGGGGGAGTCAATATCATTTCCTTATCTTTTAATTGCTAACTCCCTTCGAACATGGCATACTGTTCTCATCTACCGATTGTGACTCCCCGAAACATATACCTTTTCTACTATAGAGTGTGTTCTCTTCCCTTCTAAATAATAGGGAATAGGTCCAATCAAATGAAATTCTGGATGATTTTTAGATATGACTAGGATGATAGGGCTGTTCCTCTATAACGGGAGGGCTGGAGAACTGGTAGAGAGAAGGAGGCCTCTTTGTTATCTGTGAGCTGACACCAGTGTGCAAGGGCTTCCTTTCTCTGCCTTGGGGAATGTCAAAGCTGGAGCTATACTAACAAAGATGACCTGGTTTTCTTTTCCTAGGGATCAAGACAGAAGGGTTGTACCGCACAGTGGGCAGCAACATCCAGGTTCAGAAGCTGCTCAATGCCTTTTTTGGTAACAATTTTACATACTTCTAATTGGGAATGGTTTATATGGAAACAAATGGGGCTGAAAGAGAAAGAAAACATTTCTTAGGAAGGTCGAAGAACGTCTTAAATTTGGATTGTAGTCTTGTTTTGTTGCTCAGGCTAATCCCAAACTCCTAGAGTCAAGCAATTGTCCTGCCTCAGCCTCTCAAGTGGCACCATACCTGGCCTGTAGAATATTACAAAATGTTTTCAGCGGTGAAACAAATATTTTGCACACCTTGAGTCAGAGACCATTATGCATTGAATAAACGTCTGTCACCTCTCATCCCATCCACTCCTCAGGCTCTAGGAAATCTAGTTCTACCACCGCCTCTTTGCTGAGACTTCTCTGGCCATGATGCTCGTGTGCGCTTGCCAAATCCAAGGAGCACTCCAGTCCATCTTACTTGCTCTCTGATTGAACACTGTCTTCTTTCTGGGAACTGTCTCCTTACTTGACTCCCATGATACAATACTCTACTCTTCCATTGAACACTTTGTGTTACTCTTTTGTCAGTGACTCTTCCTGGATTCCGTTTTCCCTTCCTCTTACCATTTAAAAATTTAAAGCCATTTCCCAGAATTCTAACTTGCCTTTACCTTTTGCTCTACTGAGTGATATTTATCCTGGATATGGGTTACATTTTCCTTTTAATAGTGTGCGTGTACATGTACATGTTCGTGTGCATGTGTGTGTATCTGTCTTTATTGAATATTGACTGTTAGGATTTAGTGAGTGTCTTATTTTCCTTGAGCAAAAGACCATTGAGGTAGGTTTTTTGGGTTGTGTGTGTATTGGGTTTTGTTGTTGTTGTTTTGTTTTTCTGTGGGTAATTATCAACTCATGTTTTTTTGTAAGTTTGTTAGACCAGACACAAAGTATTCTCTACTGGTTTGTTTAGACCTGCTAGTAATTCTTAACATTTCTTGTGTCTTCATTCTTATTGACTTGAACACAAATCTGGGACTGGAGAGAGGGTTCAGTGGGTAAAGCAGTTGCCACGCGAGCCCAGGACCTGAGTCTGGGCCCCCAGCACTCATGTAAAAGCCAGATAAGGTAGGGAGCATCTACAATCCCAGTGCAGCTGTAGCACAATGAGAGGTGGACACAGGAGAAGTCCGGCAAGCCTCGGGGCCTGCTAGCCTGGCCAGGACTCACTGAAGAAGAGACTGTCTCAAAGAGATTGCATGGTGAGGAACAGCACCTACGAGTGTGCCCTGACCTCCACATGCGAGTCATGGCATGCACAATCCCACAGGCAGGCACACACAAGCACACACACAAACACAAACGTCCAAACCACATACATACATATTACCCACGCGCACACATTTTAAAAAAGAGCACAAATGTCTACTAGCTTTGTGAATTCTTGGCATTTTTCAGCATAATGTTCTCTGTTATGTTTTTGCCTAGCCTGTGGCGTTTTACCCTGGGCTTATTATTTATACAAGGCTTTGTATTTAGCAATTGACTCGGGAGATTTTGGCCACTGCTCTCTCTACATAGAGCCTTCTTCTTTTGCACTTTGCTACATACAGTCTTTTTTTTTTTTTTTCTCGTAGTGCTGGGGGATAGATTTGGGCACTTCATGCATTCTAGGAGAATCTTCTACCACTAAGGACTATCCTCAGCCCATGCTGAGGAAATTCTAGCTAGCTAAACTTCCCAAGAGTTTTTTTTTTCTTCTAGTCTCTTCAGGTGAGCAAGCCCTTAGCTTGATCTCTAACTCCCTTTGTTATTCAGAAAGTCTTTTCGGTTGGCATGCTCTGGCGGTGGCAGGGCTTTCCTATCTGTGTGCATTTTCACACTCACAGCCCTGTGCTCGCTATTCAGTGACTAAACGCAGTAGCTTCATATAGTTTGTCCTATCTTCTATAGTTATGGCAAGACAATAAATCTTGTGCCAGTGGCCCTACTGTGTCTGGGAGTGAAAAGCCCTCTATGTGTTTGGTACTAGCACCTATGGGCGGAAATCTCAGAATTTCCATCCAGACAGCTCCTAAGTTCTAGAACGCATCTGCTGCCAATTAACCCTGTGATTCTCAGTCTTACCTTGGTCCTGCCACACGAGGATGTGGGCAGACTATCAGCATTGTGTCTGTATGGCACACTGGTGATAACCAAGGCAGTGAACTGTAAAGCTCAAGGAATCAATACCAAAATCTCTGCAGTAGCTCTCTCTGTGTAGATGGTCCATAGGTGCCTGCCTATATTTTCCATGACCCAAATGAAACTCACCTTTTTTCTTCACTATAACCCCGTGCATCTTCCTTTTGTGGGTGACGGTGAGGTAGCTGGTAAGCTTTGATTCTGTGAAGTGTCAGAGAATGAGTTGTGTGGAAAGCAGAAGCTCGGATAAAGTATGTAGTTTTCAGATTTCCTTTAAATGTGGCCAAGGGGAATGGAGGAGACAGGTAAAATTGAGATTGTCAATCAGCTGCTCTTGACACGGAATTTTCTCTGATTATCCTGGAAGACTGAGTGGAATTCACAGGGGCTTTAACGTGGGAGAGAAATTCAGGAAAGAGAGTCACTGAGAGACAGCGCATGAATATTCAGCCCTGTGCTTTCAGAAGACAAGGAGCTGAAAAAGAGGAGCTGCAAAAGCCAAGGAATAAAGTTTCCTCTCTAGAAGAGATGCAGTATGTCTACAACTCACTGCTAGCTCCATTTACATATACTGGTTTTAGGAGACCCTTTGCACTTAATTTGTTGACTTCATTCCCATAAGCTCTCATTATAACCGCTATCACTTAATTTGTTGACTTCATTCCCATGGGCTCTCATTATAACCATTATCCATGTATTTTTTTTTCAGTATAATGTCATAAAACTGCTATAGCCTCAATTCAGTTTCTTTATGTAATCAGCTAAACTGCCTGAAATTATTGGAATGCACAGCAACCATTTTGCCCATTTTTATTAGTCCACCAACTCTATGTATGACTTCATAAAAATGAAAATGTCATTCTCCTACGTTATTCTCCATAGAACTGGAAATGTCTGTGTAGCTGAGCAGAGCCTTGCAATGCACTTTGCTTTAGCACAGTGTATGCACGTATATGTGCAAGTCATATGTTTAAAAGAAATGTTGAGATAAAAAAGATTCTGTAATGCACAAGGGGGACCATTTTGCCCCCTACTGCCTACTGACTTAGATCTGGAAAAAAAATCCATGCTGATTATTCTATAACACTTGGTTTCTTGGCAACTGGAACTCCACTGTATGGAATGCTGCTCTGTGACCTCAGTCTGGGATTGACACTGCATCACAGGTCTCTGTCCTGGAGGACTGAACTTCCTTCCACGGCTTTCTCCCTCTGTTCTACGGCCTTAAATTTGTGAAATTGTTTACCCTAGAAATTAGAATAGCGGCGGTGCTTTGTACAGAACAAAGAGTCCAGGGAAAGAAACATGCTTCTTGAGGGTAAGACAAAATTAGGCGAGGGTCAGGCATCTCTCATTGGACATAGTTGAGACATGTTGGAATTACCAGGGAATAGGGGAATCTAAAACTTTGTTACAAAAGAGTTTTAGCAGTTGCCAATATTACTCATTCAAAAGTATTACTCATTGATCTTCAGTAACTATAAATAATCCACTATTTCCTTCATTTGTAAGTATTTCTTCAACCCAGTTCATTTTTTTTGATTTTTTTTTTTATTTTTGAGGCTGTAGTTTAATTCCAACATTTTCACCTTTCCTCCCTTAAACCCTCCCATTTGGCCCTCCTCACTCTTCTTCAAATTCATTACTGCTTTTTACATCAATTGTTATTGCATACGTATGTGTATTTGTATATATACACGTATTTCTAAATATAACGTGCTAAGTTCACATAATGTTAATTGTATGTATGTTTTCAGGGCGAACCCCTTCTCCCCCTCCCAGCTTTGCTCAGTTGCCTGTAAGTTCATAGTGCAGGGTTGAAGGTCTCATCGACTTTTCCCCACTGGTTTGGCATGTTTATTGTTGTACTCTTTTGTAAGGTCATGTTTGAACAATCATGTTTGTTTTTGTTTTTTGAGACAGGATTTCTCTGTGTAACAGTCCTAGATGTCCTGGAATTAGCCCTTGTAGACAGGCCTGGCCTGGAACTCACAGAAATCCGCTTACCTCTGCCTCCCGAGTGCTGGGATTAAAGATTGCACCTCCCTGCTGCAATCACGCTCATGAGACTTTACAGGTGTAACTTCTGATATTACAAGGAGACACAATCTCACAGTAAAGTTCCTAATTATCTGTAAATTATAATCTTTTTCTGCACCTCTTTCACAGTATTCTCTTGGGGTTGGGCTTCACATCTCTGCATTTATTGGGTGTAATTTTCTGTAGCAGTCTCTTTCTCTTACAAAGAGAAATTTCTTTGATGGGGAGGATGCCTACACTTATCTGTAGATAGAAGGACGAATGCTTTTATGTTGCTCTTTGGGATTATGCTGGTTTAGTTATTGTATCCCTTTTGTGGAGCAGGTGTTAGGTACACTCAGAGAGTAGCTGGACACCACCTAGGTACATGTGCAAGTTATCAGTGGAGTAAGATGTCGAGTCATTTGGGTATATGCCAAAGAGTGCTGTAGCTATTACCCTCTTGATTTCTGTTGATGTTCTGGAGTCCCTAGATCATCTATCCAAAGCCACTGCATCCAGATGAGCTATTCCAGAACACACCCTGCATATTATTGAGTATCTTTAAGTACTGGCTACTATGTTGGGTAATGGGGATAGAGTGGTGAAAGAAGCAGATAAATCTCTCCTCTCAGTGAGCTTATAATGTAGCAACATGACCATATTTTTTCTTCTCAAAATAAATTAATACTGTCCCAGTTCTAGGATTCCGTTGTTCTGAATTAGGATATAAAACTATGTAGGTGGGCTGACCGTAATGGTGTGTTAGTTATATTGATTATGTATGTTGATATATATTTTTAGCCCAGCTTGAGCTACATAGCAGGCCCTGTCTCACAAGCCACAGAGAAAAA